ATGGAAGAATATGGTTCATGCTGAATTTGTATTTGTCTTTAAATCTCAAAGAACTTTTTAAGAAAAACAAAAATTTGCTCATATTTTGAAATTTTTAAATTAAGATAATAATTATTTTGCATTAAATTTAAGAAGAATAGGTTTTGTTTCGCATACAACTTTAAGATTTAATTTTAAATTTTATTAAAATTATAATTATTTAGTTCAAAATGGTGGTATAAGATAATTTTATTTGTTTTCTTAATTATTTAATGTTTTTTTTAGTATTTTTTGTCGTTATTATTTTTTTTATGTTGAAATACTTCCATAGTTTTTAAAACCCTGTTTACATGTTTAAAATTTTAATTTCTATCCTCTATATAAATCTAGTAATTAAACATATTGCACAAATATATTTAAATATTTTACAAATACCTACATACATATAAATCCTTATTAATAAAGTAAATCCTTAATAAAAATTTTTATAAAAAAGAATTTTCAAAACCTATTTTGATTTTAAAATTATCAACATTACGATTCTAATGATGATAGAACTGAACTGAACTTAAACTGAACTAGAACTGAACTAGAACTGAACTAGAACTGAACTAGAACTGAACTAGAACTGAACTAGAACTGAACTAGAACTGAACTAGAACTGAACTAGAACTGAACTAGAACTGAACTAGAACTGAACTAGAACTGAACTAGAACTGAACTAGAACTAAACTAGAACTGAACTAGAACTGAACTAGAACTGAACTAGAACTGAACTAGAACTGAACTAGAACTGAACTAGAACTGAACTAGAACTGAACTAGAACTGAACTAGAACTGAACTAGAACTGAACTAGAACTGAACTAGAACTGAACTAGAACTGAACTAGAACTGAACTAGAACTGAACTAGAACTGAACTAGAACTGAACTAGAACTGAACTAGAACTGAACTAGAACTGAACTAGAACTAAACTAGAACTGAACTAGAACTGAACTAGAACTGAACTAGAACTGAACTGGAACTGAACTGAACTAGAACTTAACTAGAACTGAACTAGAACTGAACTAGAACTGAACTAGAACTGAACTAGAACTGAACTAGAACTGAACTAGAACTGAACTAGAACTGAACTAGAACTGAACTAGAACTGAACTAGAACTGAACTAGAACTGAACTAGAACTGAACTAGAACTGAGCTAGAGTTGAACTAGAAATGAACTAGAACTGAACTAGAACTGAACTAGAACTGAACTAGAACTGAACTAGAACTGAACTAGAACTGAACTAGAACTGAACTAGAACTGAACTAGAACTGAACTAGAACTGAACTAGAACTGAACTAGAACTGAACTAGAACTGAACTAGAACTGAACTAGAACTAAACTAGAACTGAACTAGAACTGAACTAGAACTGAACTAGAACTGAACTAGAACTGAACTAGAATTGAACTAGAACTGAAGTAGAACTGAACTAGAACTAAACTAGAACTGAACTAGAACTGAACTAGAGCTGAACTAGACCTTAACTAGAACTGAACTAGAACTTAACTAGAACTGAATAGAACTGAATTAGAACTGAACTAGAACTGAACTTGATTTGAACTAGAACTTAGCAAAATCTTAGCTAGAACAAAACGAGAACTGATCTAGAACTGAACTGGAACTGAACTTGAACTAAGCGAACCCTGATCTAGAACTGAACTAGTGCTAAAACTGAACAATAACTGAAATAAGTCAGATTTGGTCTGAATATGAACACAACTAAAAGAAAAATTGAAATAGAACCCAACTTTGACTCCACGACAATTGCATTAATGCTGCGGAAGAACTCAAGTTATATCCGGGCAAAAATTGTGAACTACGTGACAGCTCGAACCCTTTAATTGTTACAACAGTAATAATATATGTTTTACCAATTAACGACTATTGAATCTTCGATTCGGAACGACACGAGCCATTGTCAACCAAGCGACAGCTACATATATCAGCCAAAAGCTTTTCCCTAGGAAAGAACTATCGACCACAGTCGAACTTTTACAACAACATAAATATGTTTTACCAACAAAATTGGTAAAATTCAATACAAAACTCTCTTCAGTTTATTACAATCACTAATTTTTATTTAAAATAAGTTAAAAAAAATGAATAAACAAAGAAAATTTAAGAAAATAATGAATCAAAAATTAAACAGTGTAATACAAATGAGACAAAAATTATAAAAAAAATAAATCTTCTTCAGACGACTTTTAATTTTTCCACAACCTGCAGATAATCCTTTTCAACTTGTTCATATTCCTCCTGCAGCTGTTCAATACGCAATTTCATATTGGGCAAACGGGCCCTCAGCCATTCAGTGTCCATTTTAGCCTTTTCCATTTTTTTGATATCACTTAATTGTTTGTGATAAACGGCGTTTAAACGTTTTTTAACATCCAAACGATAGGAGGTGTAATCGTCTTTGTCGTGTATGTTAGTATAAAACAAACGTAAAATTTCATACACTTTACGACACTGGCGGGGGTTTAGCTAGAGAATTTGTAAAATTGCAATAAATGGAAGATTTTTGTAAAGTTTAAAAGTTTTTACCTTTAAGGTCTCTCTTGCCTCTTTGATCATTTCTTTGTTAAAACCCTTTTTAAGTTCTTCCTTTTGGAAATTCTTTAGTTTTTTACATAGACGGGAATCTACAAAATTGCGCATACGTTGAAAATCATCTGAAGGATCTTCCACGGTGATATCAATAACATTCTTTTGGTTTTGATAGAAATTATAGATAGTTTCTAGAAATTTGGTGCCTATGCCAAGTTTTTGAAATGGTGGCAAAACCAACATTTGGGATATACGAGGCCGTATATTTTGAGGATAGGCATAATACTCATAGACGGTGGTGTAGCCCACAGTAGCATAGGTTTCTACACCATTATCATTTTTAAACTTTTCATAACTTTTTTATAAGGAAAAAACAAAATGTTAATAAAGTTCTTTGACATAAATATTCCTAACCTACCATATAAAATAAGACCACTGAGGATCATCCACATCTATATAAGAGGCCGCATCTACAAACCACAACACAAATGTTTGCAAACGTGAGAAAAATTTCAAAAACGACGGTTGTTTATAGTTGCAATGATAAAATTCAAAGATTCTTTCTTTGTTCTCCTCATCCTGTTGTTTGTATTCACAGAGTTTCTCACCAAAAGGCTGAAATTTATCTGCCTTATCTAGGGTCTTAAGAAATTCATCCATATTTACAAAATAACAACCATCGGGTAGTTTTTCTGCAATAGTTGCCACCACATCATCAGCCTTAATATCTCCTTTAGACAATTCATCCACCTTCTTGCCATATTCTATGCCCAAATAAATATGCAACGGTCCGGCCGTATACAATATGCGTACTTTTAAGTCTTGATAACCAAATATACTTTCAGATTCGCCAAATATTTGATGGGCCATTAAAGGGTGAAAAGCCAAATCTTCATTTTCCAAATCCGATTTAGAGCGTACTTTAAAAACATTGAAAATTATTATTTATCTCTTGTTTGTGAAGCATGAAACTTACTTAATTTGAATTCCACCACTTCTAAGGCATCCAAAACTAAATCTTGGAAGTCTTGTATCTGAGCCATGCTTTAGCTTTTCAGTTTTTTTTTTATATTGTTGTGTTGTTTTCCAATTGTTTGCGGCTAAAAAACTTGGCGCGCAAATTTTCTCACGCAATTTTTGTTTTACACTTAAAAATTAGTTTTCTTTTCACAAATATCTTTAGAATTTAATTTTTTTTTGCAATTTGTTTAAATTTTCAAGGTATTTCCTAATTTTTGTTGTAAATTTAAAGATTTTTAACACAAATTACACACAAGTATGAAAAGACTCAATAAAAAATAAAAGAAAATAAATTGTGCCAAAACTTCTTCTTCCTCCTAAGCCATTCACAATAATTTATTAGCATTGAAGTTGCCAGATGGTTAATCATTGTTAGAGAGTTATTAGGAGGAAACATTAACGTTTTAAATGATATATAGACCTGGTCCACACTAGAAAACTTTTGTTGATAAACTTTTTCATAATTCTCTTTTGATGATTCCTTAATGTCCACACATAGAAACTTTTGTTTCAGAAACTCGTATTAATTGCATTGATTTGTTGTTGTACGAATAAGAAGAATAACAAACAAGTTTCCGAGTACGAGAAACTCCGTACCGCGAGAGAGATGAATGATATTCTTTCTCTTTCTCTCTCACGCAAAATCAAAAGTTTCCCAAAAAAAGTTTCTTAGTGTGGACCGGCAGTTAGCAAAAAAAGAGATATTTTCCTAATTTGAATGCAATTTGATTTAATTATGTTAAAGCTCATTACAAAAATAATTATCAATTTCGTGTTGACATTTTACACAGCTATTAGTAGTCAAAAATTTAGAAAGATCGGTATAGCAGGAAAAACCCTGATTGTGGGATATATTACTCGAATGTGGTTCGTATATACATATACAAATCATTCTGTAATCGGATCTATAATTGGTCATAACTCCCTTATATAGCTCTTCCCTGAAAATCAATTAATCGTAAATAACTCGTTTATATACAATAATTAAATTTTTATTAAAATACTAAATTTTCAGTGTATCTTTTTCACCAACAATCTGGCATCACTTACATAACGCTAAACCAACTAAACACAGTACGCTAAAAAAAACTACTACTAAATTTTACAACAATGGCATGAAATCACAAAAATAATTCGTGAGGAAAAAACGCCGCATCTGCAAGAGAAAACTTTTGCAAAAATATTGTTTTTAAATAAAATAATTTGCTTACAAAACTCAAAAATTGCAAAAACTCTTATAGAAAACTAATCACTAAAAGTTAGCATTCGAAAATGTAAGTATTTTTAAAGAAATAAACAAATTTAAGGCAACACAAACAACGAAACTGCTTTGTCATTTGTTGTCTGTCTGTCTGTGAGCAAAGCTAAATTTCAGACTGTCCTTTTCTTGTTTAAAGCCAAAACACAAAATGGACAACTATTTATTCGATGGTGGACGCATACAAAAAATGGAGGTGGACTATGCTCCAGCCTGCGATGAAAAGATACCCATTGCTAAAGATTTGGCCAAAAAGAATCCCGATTCTTTTCACGAGGCCATTGAAATGTTGCTAACACTAGAGAAACAAACACGTTTGGGAGCAGATATGGTCTCCTGTTCACGCGTTCTAGTGGCTATATGTCAGATATGTTTTGAAGCTGGCAATTGGAATGCCTTAAATGAATATGTAACTTTATTGGTGCGTAGACGTTCCCAACTCAAGCAGGCCGTTTCCAAAATGATACAAGAGTGTGTGACTTATGTGGAAAAGACACCCGATAAGGAAACTAAATTGAAATTGATAGATACCTTGAGAGCGGTGACGGAAGGTAAAATT